CGTTACACATTTTCTGAAACACAATCTGACTTTCGCATCTGCATACACACATTATGCAGAAGTTTATTAGTTTGCAAATGTGTCGCAAAACGCATTTTTTTCTTCTAAATATTGTCAATATAAGTAATCAGGTTTTACAAAAGAAATTATATAATAATTATTAAGAAGAGACCGTGTGATCTGATGTGTGAATTTGATTAATTTTACAAGGCGGCTTTCCTCCATTCACCCTATTCTCAGCCATCAATGCTGCTGCGTCTTTACAGTCCTTTAATAAATGCTTTTCCAATATTTGAGATGATTATCTGTAATTGAAACCTAGCCAAATCAATAGACTCTCCTCACGTAAATAAAGAGTGTCCTAACATTAACGCAAGGATTTAATTGAAAACACGGTTTTTAGTCTCCAGATTGTGATTTTTTTTTTTGGGTTGCCAAATGGTGGCAAATTCAAATCTTGCGTTTATTTTGGAACACCCTTTATATACACATACCTACAGTATTTGGAAACTTCTCGTGATCCGATATTCCTTCCTTAATTAATTTTTCACTTTGTTTGCTTAAGCTCGGGCACAAAAACTTACCAGAAAATTACACAAATTTTTCACATTTTCCATTGCATTATCTTAAAGACAATCGAAATCTGAGCTGCATCCGCCACTTTCCTCATTAAACATCTTCAAACATTCGACCAATATTCCATCCATTTTTCCTTCCATCAACTTATTATTAAGAAATTATTACTTTCATATTAGTTCTTACAGTTAATTGCTTTACAATACAGTTTTGCATTATTTGCAGTTAATTAAATTCAAATTTAGAATCAACTTTTTTTAGCAAATCTAAATCCTCAGAAAATTAAATAAATCGATATTTTCTATTTCTATAAAATTACAATAAATTAATTCAAAAAAATATATTAAAAAATAACAAGATTATTATTTAATCAACATCAATTTAAAATCTACAAAAACTTAAATTATTATCGAAAATTAATCATATTAGTTTATAACATTTAATTAAACTACTGACAAATAGCTGAAATATAACTGCTATAAAATAACAAAATTTGTTTTCCAATGATTGCATCAATATTTGGGTTAAATCTAATAATTCAATAAATAAAGAAATAGTTCCCTAATTTTATATAATTTAACTATAAAGTTCATCAAAAATGGATATATTTGTTATAAAATTACATTTCTTTCCTTTTCTGCATTCAATGAGTTAATTATTCTTTTGATTACTTCATATAATTTTATTCACATATAGTCAAAACATATTTTTTCATAATTATAATCAGTGAAAGTGTGGCCTATATGAAGAATATATTCCTTTTTTTTTTAATTTTCAACAATTAAAAACTGAGACAAAAATTTTTTCTGCAAAAATTTCCTAATCTTTCCAATTAAAAAAAATGCGTATGCCTCACAAATTCAAATTCATCCATGTTATGGCACTAATTATAATCAATTTTAGTAAAAGAGATAAATATGTTCAACCTCGCTGATCAAAACACTATTGATACTTTTTTTTATTTCTAATTATATGTGTTTCTCAGGAAATTTGATAAAAATTAATGTTAGTGAAATGATCCAAAAAATTGGCGTAAAGCAATAAATTAAATGAATAAAGGAAGAAAGAAAATTTAGTGGTAATTAAGTACTGCTAATTCTAGTATTTAATTTATTATTATGTAGTCACAAAAGGAACATAAGGGGCCAAAAATATTGTTTTCTTAAAGTATGTCTAATAGAAGAGTCCCTGTTATTATAATATATAGCAAGAGTGACCAACTTGTTGGAATTTATATATATATATTATATAGATATAAGAAAATCAGTTTGTTTCTCAATATTTTCATTGAAAATAAACAAAAGTATTCTCAGAACATAAATAATTAAAAAAAATATTTATATTTCCGTTCATTATTAAGAAACTTGATACATTTTTTTCTTCTTCCGACAAAATAAATCTACTGAGATGAATTGTGCCAATAAAAAGCCACATCTTAATTACACGCTTAAATCAGCAAACACATTTTAATTACCTTCTATAATTGGAACCGTTTGTTTCCTTTGCAAAGAACATTTATTGCCATGACCTATTTGGTAAGTCGTTAAAATCTGCAATGGGTTAAAGCACAACAATTCGTAAACCTCCGCTGGAAATAAATCTGTAAAAGATACTATTCTTTACAATGTTCAATAGATATTAAATTTTCAACGTTTATCATTACTTTCTTAAGAACCTGAACTATAGATGATTGATGAATTTTCCCGTTGATTATTTTTGCACTTTCAAAGAATTTGTTGATATTTGATAGATTACTAGAGTTAAATAAGATAAATAGTTATTTGCTGCGATATTTATACACCTCGGATAGTCCGGGTAATCGGTTTCTCCGGACTGTCTGAAACCGGACTAATTGACAAACCATTCAGTATCATTATGATAGCTAGTATAATAGTCGCAATTGTATATTTTTTTAGAATTTCAAACTGAAATATTTAGTACTGATCAAAGCAGATTTATTCCTCATAATAACTTCGAAAACAACAGTTTATAGTTAATTTGATTGATGGTTTTCAAAGTGTTTCTTGTAATTTTAACGCATCGCTGGTAATCGAAGAGGAAAGGCAAACAAATTTAATACGTTCAGCGTTTTCTGGCTATGTTAAGTGAAGCGGAACGTCGGTGCGATAACCATCGACTATATGATCCGTGAATTTTGAGACGTTCGGAAGTAGTACTACCATTTATAACATTGATGGAAGAAGCGAACGAAGCGTAAGTTTGGAAGTTAACGAAGGAGAAGAGAAGATGATGATGGAGCAGCACAGAAGGTTCGTGCATTCAGCGGCAGATGCATCTCATCTTCGAGACAGATGTCTGCATATTTGCAGCATCGACCAGATTCATCACAATTAACAATCAGTTGCAGCTTCTTGTTGTGCAATCCGCAAAAAGGAATATACATCAAACGATTGAATCTCGCCTGTCAAATATGAATTCAATGATGCATGCGAACTGATAAATAACAGACACATCTTTTCTTCATCATCTGATACAGGACGAAGAGATATTCACTTTTGATAATAACAAATTCCAGAAATAATTGCAAACAAAAAAATATCCTTTATGATCCGCGCTTTTTTAAATATGTTATTATCCTAGCACAAACCTAGTTATTATATCTTCATTTTGATTTCTAAACGCGATTAACTATACATATGTTTCTATTACATGCAAACATTTTATAACTATAAACAAATAGTTTACGAAGCGAACATGAATATTTCTCTTCTACTTTTGTTCTTTTTATCAATAGATTATGGAAAGTCGACTCTAACATTAAATATGAAGAATAAAGTGAGTAAAGATCTTATAGTTACAGTTATAATACAAGTCATTGCTTGAGCAGGTTTTTAGGTTTTACAAGTTTCTGGAACTGTGCGAAGATACGAATAATGCCACGAATGCCATACAATTATTAGACATGAAATTTACGTCACCGACTACATTTTACTATAAAATAAGAGTTACTAAGACAATTCGTACGATGGTGGTAAATATAATTAATAATACCTCTTATTTTATATTATAAATAAACTGTATACAATTTAGCTGCAAATTCAATTCTGGAGGTGCTCCAGTCGGGAAAACTTGGATAGTTGCATGTCCTTGACGAACTTCAAGATGGGAAAAGCTTGTTCATTCGTTAGTCTACAAAATGAATTCTGGACTCCGATTGTCGATAATACCAAACCGCAATTGAAATGTCCTCTGGAAAAGGTAATTACAGTAGTTCTCAATCGTCGTATTCATCACCTTGTTTCGAATCCGTTAAAAGTGTTGCTTAACTTTTACAAAACTACCTGCGTTACGAATTATTCCAACAAGAAACAGTCAAACCTCGATTAATGAATGGGATGCAATCAACGAAATTACTTCGTTTTCAAATGTAAAAACACTATGAATTTAGTGTAAAATATGAATCATAAGCTGATTGTTTATGCATTTTTCTCTTCCATTTAACAATTACCTATACGGAGTTATTGCATTCAACACTTCCTAAATCAGGATAATCACTAAAAACGTTTTCAATGGCATTTAATCATCTTTCTAAAACCTTTGATTGTTAACATTTTTTTTTTGAAAAAAACTGTTTTCATTTTCTTTGAATTATATTTAATCTTCCAATGAAAAGACATCATTTCTGCATTCAATAAATTTCTAAGAAAACCTTCATTTCCATTGTACGATCTTCATTTCTAATTTCTTGGACGTTTTATTCTTCTGGTAAAACTTCTGATCATATTTATATTTATGAAAATGGAGACTTCGTCTTGACTATTATAAGTATTTCACATAACTATTGCTTGTTTTGTAGGTAACTGCGTATCCTTATTTTTTTGAGAAGTAGTGTTACCTGAAAAGTAACATGTAGAACAGTATTTTCAACCTTTTTATCTACCGTTAAACTTACGCCGTAATAATTAAATTAATGATCTTTATTCCAATAATTTTCTTATTTCATCTATAAATTAAACAATACTTGTTTCATTTCTTTTACAGAACGTATACATTGGGACAAATTGCACAATAAATATGGATTCGTTTGCATTGGTACCATTGGGTCAGTCGTATTGGAAAGCCAAGTTCCGATTGCACAGTAAAAAACAGGAAGTGTTTTGCGCGATCGCAGAGGGCAGCGTTTTAAGATAATTGTTGTAGTTGCAGTCTCAATTAAGAGAGAATGATCATTACACCTATTAAATATGTAGCCACGTCCGTTTCGATGCAATAAATAATGATTTGATTAGAATCTCGTATTTAATTAATTTCACTTCTAAACAAAAAGGCCGCACCGCATCGTTCGAGATTAGGTTTGCGAATAGAATACAATACCGACACAATAAATATAATAAAGTGGAACACGCATCGATGGTGTAAATAAAAAAATAGAAAAGAAAAACATACACACACATACAGGAACTATGGCGAAAGTAGTTTGCTACATTTTGGTTGCACTTTGGCTTGCAGCACGTGGCCAAAGTAAATACACCGCTTATTTCAAAAACAAGGTAAACATTTTACACAAAATATTTAACTATTTTTGCCCAAAAAAACATTGATTTTATTTTAAAAACCGCTTCATTTATAATATCTATAGTGACAATGTAAGGCGTTATCAATTCTTTGTGGCACATGTCCAGATTTCCTGAGTTGATAGTTGGTCATGTCACGAATAGGAATGCAATAAGTATTCATAGATTGATGACTTAGATCAACTCCTTCCATTCTCTTGTTATAATTTTTGAAGTCACAACAAGTAAATCATTGATAATATCAAATTTGAAAATCAAAAGTACTTCTCGGTTTTTCTGATAATACCTTTGATGATTGTAACGGATATATCGACATTCTCTAATGGTTACTGTTGCCCTAAAGCCCTTTTCAGTCAGTGCAGAGCAGATGTCCTACTTTTATGGTTATATAATAGAATAACAAGTTGTAGCTACTTATCACTAGATTACTGAAAATTCAATAAACACTTATGTACAGTATGCAAAAACGGGTTAAAGGAATGTTATCTAATTGTATTGATATTTTCTTTTATATAAATTAAATTGTAAGTGTAAGTTTGATCAACAAAAATTTCATTTACATAATTTTTTATAAACATTTTGTTAAAAATTAATCTGAGAGGAATTAAATAATCAATGTGCTAAGAAAAAAAAAATCTCTAATATACTTTTCACTCTACTTGATAAGTAATAATTTAAATAAATAATGTAAAATTGTTAAGACATCTTAATTACTTGTGAATTATAGCAAAGTAAGTAATTGGATTATTTGACATTGATTAAAGGCATTAAAGTTCGACAAGTTCTTGGAACCATGCAAGGATTACAACAGGCAACACAATGCCATCGATTTGAGGAATGTCACGATCACTGGGAATTCCACCACCTTTGACTATGACGCCGTGATGCATCGCCAAATTAACGACGTCACCGTATGTAAACGATAATTGCTTTATATTACAATAAATAAATTTCCTTTCTATATTCAATTTTAGTTACAATTGCATTTTTGGAGATGCAGCAGTCGCGAGGCATTAGATACATGCATGCCCTTAACTTCATTTAAGTGCAGAAACATTTGCGAGTTTTTGGATTCCACGAAGGAATTTTGGAGTCCGGCCATTTTATGTGCGAAACCGAACATCGCGTGTCCTTTGCAAAAGGTTAAAGTGGAAATATATGAAACTGCTACTTATTATTCATTACGTTTATTTTCTGTTAGGCTGTTTATAGGGGTCGAGAATGCAGCCTGAATTTGAACGCTTTCCACTTCTTTCCATTAGGTACGGCCTATTGGAAGGTCAGATTCACACTTCTTAACAACAAACGTGAGATTTTGTGCGCGATGATTGAAGGTGGTATTAGATGAATCTTTAAACAGAATACAGCTAAATCAATAAAAATATATGTTTCAATAAAAATTTTAAATAAAACTCAAATTTTGAAAACTTTTTACATGATGTGCATATAAAATTATCATTTAGTTAAAAGTGGAAGTGCTCTTATGGTTGTAAACAATAATTATATTCACATAATAACTGCTGATATATTTATTATGTCATTATGTTGGATATAATCGGAAAATTCATACTTTCAGATCAAAGTTTGCGGACAAATAATATATAAAATAATATGCATTTGTAATTTTTGCCTCAGTGCATTTTTTTTTTTAAATTATAGAGGAAATATGAGAAACAAATACATTGAATTGTTTATAACATTATTATTTATAAACAAATATTCTACTTTCAAATTAACAGTTGTATTTAATAATAAAGTAAGTAACAATTAATATAAATAAATTTTTTATTAAAAAAAAAGTTAATTTAAATTTGTTTTATTTGCTCTTAATTAAGATAGAAATAGACTACAATCAATAGAATTTTGGTTCTAAATATGTGATTTATTTTATTATGTAATTTTTAATAAATTGTATTTAAATAAAGCAATAGTAAATACATATTTGAAGTAGGTTAATATGTCTTCTTTAGGTATTTGGATTTACAAAATTCTTAGATCCATGCACAGGACACGACCATTCCAAGCATTCGATGCATTATTCAAATTTCAAAGTTATTGGAGACCGAAGCTTCGATTACGATCTAATAGTCGATAAACCAGTTCCCACTCTGAGCGTGAGTAAATTCATTAAAAATAAGTACTTAAATTTGAAAGTTTCGTGGTTTTCTTGTTCAACCCTTTGTCGTCTGACTGACCTAAATACTTGTTGGCACTTTTATGTAATCTTTATACTATATACAAAAAATGATGTGTTTTGCAATTGGAAACACCAACACTTGTCACTTCTTTAAAAAAAAATTATGATCCGTTTTTGTAATCTAAACCAATATCATTCACTTATTATCCGATTTAAGCTTAACATTGCCTAACTTTACCAAAAAGTACAACATATTTTTTTCATCGAAAATTTTGCTGAGATTTAATAAAAATTTATAGGCTATAACTTATTTTTAATGTTTTAAACCAAATCTCAAGAATTTTTTTATTTTTTGACTGTGGTTAAAATTTTGAAATAACTTTGTAAAATATCGAAGAAAAAAAAACATATTTTAGTTTCACATATTGGATGTATACATATATTTTTCCTGTATCAAATGAACGAGGTTCGACTTCCTGCAGCTATATTGACTCAATACGATCAGAAGATCTCTGACCGCCTCGTTTCCATGCAAATTCGTTGAAATCAGCACATCCTCTCGATATTTATAACTCATTTAGAAATGCATTAAGCAGAAAGAAGACCTTATCCTTTGAAGGCTGCACCGTAAAAATAACAATAAAATAGTATGAAGCAATTACCGGGTCTTGTTCTTTTCGTTGTACCATTAAAATTGTGAAAGTTGCGAGGTTTAAATTGTAAATGTACGTTCGGGCCTTATCTTCTTTCTTATTTTTTTTTCAATCTCTCTTTCTTTTTACTCCTGCTTTCAGATAAGCATTCACTTTTGGAGATGCTCGAGTGGCGAAGCCCTGGACAGTTGCATACCAATTACAGTGTTTAAGGTTGGCTCGGCCTGCAGATACATGAATTCTACCGGCGATGCGTGGAGTCCAATGATGGAATGTATGCGACCGAAAATGGGATGCCCATTCAAACGAGTAAGAAAAAACTACTTTGTTTTTGTTTATTTGTAAAGTTCAGCATTTACGCTTAAAACGTAATTTATATTCAGTGGATTATCTCTTAACAAACACATTTTATAGACGAAAAAAGCTATTTTATACACACACAATTGATATACATAGGAAAACTATTGTCTATAATTAATGACATTATATAGTTTCAGTCCATGAATATAATCTAATAATTAGATACAATTATTTCAGTTAACGTTATTGTTATTATTTGTATATTCTTTATTTTAAGTAAATTATATTTGTTTTGGTCTTGAGCCTCAATTCATTTGAAATCAATTGTACAACGTTTTAATTTCCATTAAAGATTTATTACAATTTTGATAACTTCACTTTCTTGTTGTCTTCTTTTAACTTTTGAACTATCTAGTTTCTTTTTAAATAAATTGTTCAAAAACTATGTTTTTTTTTTTTGAAATAATCTATTGAAATTCTTAATGTTTTCTTTTAAAAAATAATCTTTTAACTATAAAGACCACCTATAAAGGTAGAAACTGTACGATAGACTTCAGCGCGTTATTGGAAAAGACATATCGTCGGATGGAATTATTATTATGATTATTATGATTCAGCAAATTTGATTTATTCTTAGTTCTTTAATATTTTTAGAAAAGTTAAATTTATTGTAAAATATAAAAATTAAATACATATAGGATCAGCAGATATAATTTTCTTTAAGAATTAACAATTAACATTAGCCAATTTATACAAATGAAACTTGTTCCTTTTTATAAAGGGAAATAAATGAATATTTAGTTTACGAGGAATTGTTGTATTATATGTAATAATTGCTAATTACTAAAGTTTCTATTCAAATAAAATTTACGAAAATAACGAAGTTGTAAATACGTCAATACAAATTTATTTGGTATGCATTTTGTAATCTCATCTCTTTACATCAATTTCATTTCATTTCAAAGACCGTCTTTTGAAATCCTAACGTTCGAAATCCCAACTATATCAAAATCTCGACAACTATAATCCCGACTGTATCGAAATCCCGATAACCATAATCCCCTCTATATCACAATCCCGACTATATCGAAAAGTTTTACAATAACATTTTAAAATTATTTCGGAGCGTAGTCACCTTGTGCTACACTTTTATTATTAATAACAATAAATTATTATTAATTTACTTGATTTTGTTGAATTATTAATAATAAACCTTAACATTATGAAATAATATCAAATACAATTAGATTATTAATTATTATTATTTATTGTTAATAACAATTTAAAAGTGGGATTATGGTTGTCGGGATTTTAATATAGCAGGGATTTTGATATAGTCGGGATTTTGATATAGTCGAGATTTCGATACAGTCGGGATTTCAAACGTTGGGATTTCGGTTGTCGGGATTTTGATTGGCGGTATTTCGGTTGTCGGACTTGCATTTGTGAATTTACATTGATTCTACCTACTTTATTATCAGCAGTATATTTTCAAAACAAATTATACAAACTGGTAGCAAATTATCTTTCTGATCATATCCCTCTATATACGGTATTAAACAACATAAAATTAAAACGTGTTTTCATAAATATTATTAATTAATAATTAATTCTCAAAAATATATATATAAATATTGTAGATCATATTTTTCGAAA